ATCCGCAGTCCTCCAGATCTCTGCCAGCTAGGATTACAGGCTTGAGCCACTGGCACCCAGCCCAGTTCCTAGGAACTTTCAGAGGGAGGAAAATCACATTCATTCATGTAAAGTCATGACAATATGACTAGATTATATGACTCATAATAATCATATAACTCAAGTAGGTTTAAGGTCACGCTAGGCATTAATTTGTGAAATAGGAGAATTAATCAAACTTCTGCAATTTTGCTTGGGTGTTAGCTCAACAAACTAGCAAATTAGTAAGATAAAAGGGATGTTTTCAGGTTGAATATTTAAAACGAAGAAAATGGCTTTCCTTCTACATTCCTGCCTATGATTTTAGGTGCAATTCTGGGAAAGTCTCATATTTGATTTATCATAAGTCAAAATATGCAACTACTACAGCGAAGTGTAAACATTTACATAATATTGCAAATAAATAAAATGAGATCTAAAGATATATGGAAGAGCCACAACTTCTTAGATATAAAGCTAGTAATATATGGTTCAAAGATTTCAATTCCAACATACAGTTATAGTTCTCCATATTCAATGTTACCAATCTTGTGAAGTACAGGATTGATGCATTTTAAGAATGTGTCAAATTTAAATTCAGCTCATTAAGCAAATGTGTAAAAATTACATGCATGGGAAACTAAGGCCCATAAAGTACTATATGTAGTTTGGCACATGCATATCAAAACTTTCTACTTTGTTTTATGCCAATCTTGTAATAAATTATTGCTTGCTTTGTCTGTCTGTAACATTTATTAGCCTGAGATCTCCTATGTGTTTTCAATGGGAATATTCTGACTTGGATATGGCTCCTCTGAAAGTCTTAGTAGCCCACATTTGTCTATCATAGAATTTTCCACACTGCATTCTAAGGGTTAAATAGTCTACTACTTGATAGGATGCTGAACTCCATAAAAGACAAGAACAACATATTAAAGATTATTTCATTTTGTTTCTTTAGTATAAAAGACCTTCAACAGCATAGTCATTCCAAAGTCATTGTTAATTTTGGGCAAGAAGGATAAATTCATTGGATGGGTAAGGAATAGTCTCTTCATTAAATGGTGCCAGCACAATCAGATTTCCACATAAAAAGAATGAAGTTGGTTGGATCTTTACTTCATACCATATTCTTAAAACTCACAGTCAAAAAAAAATTAAACAAATCCCCAAATGGATTAATGAGCTATCCAAAAGACATAAAACCATAAAACTCTCTGAATATATGAGTAAATCTTCATGTATTGGCTTGGCAATGGATTCTTAGATACAATACAAAAAGTGTGAGTAATAATAACAAAATTGATTAGACTTCATTGAAATTAAAATATTCTACATCATAGGACATCAATAAAATGAGATCATTTCTAAATCATATTTGATAAGACCATAGTATTTAGAACAAAAAACTCTTATAACTCATCAACAAAAAGAGAAACAATTGAATTTAAAAATGGCTAAAAGACAAACATTCTCCAAAGGAAATGTATAAATAGCTAACAAGCACATGAAAACTGTTCAGCATCAATAATCATTACAAAAATGTAAACCAAAACTACCTGAGATAGCATTATTTAAAAAATAAATTAAAAAGAAAGGTGGATTCAGTAGCTCATCCCCATAATCCCAGGTACTCAGGAGGTGTAGACTTACTTAGAGAAGCCTGTAACAAGGCCAGCCCAAGCAAAAAGTTACTGAGACTACATGTCAACCAATAAGCCAAGAGTGGTGTTATATGCTTATAATGCCAGTTACCTAGGAGGTCTAAGTGGGAAGATTGCAGTCTGAGGCAAAAACACACAACCCTATCTGAACAATAAACTAAAACAAAAAGGGATGAAGACATTGATCAACTACTAGAACGCTTGGCTAGGAAACAAATCAATGAGATCGACTCCAGTACCAGCATCAAAAAAAGGGAAAACAAGTGTGAACCAGAAATGTAGAGAAAGTGGAACCTTTGAACACTGCTGATGGGGATACAAAATAGTTCAGCACTGTTGAAAACAATTTGGCAATTTCATAAAAAGTTGAACTTAAAATTAGCATCTGACTCTATAATTCTACTCCTAGGTATTTACCCAAATACTTGAAAACAGTTAAACTTATTCATCAAAGCCCATAGCAACATTATCTGCAATAGAGAAAAGGTGGGAATAGCACAAATTTCTATCAATGGCTGAACAGATAAATGAATTGTGGAATTACACAAGTAGAATATTCTTCAGACACAAACAGAATTGTGAACTGATACATGCTATGATGTCGATGAACCTACAAAACATGATGTAAAATGAAAGAAAGTAGCAGGATAGAAAAGATCACATATTATTCTATCGATATAAAAATCCAGAACAGATAAATTCACTGAGGCAAATGTGCATTAGTGCTTGCCAAAAGTTGGGAAGAGAAGGAGGGAGAGAAGCTGCTTAATAGAAAAAGGGTTTTACTTCGGTGTTAAGAAAATGTTTTAGAACTCGATAGAGGGCAGATGTCTATTATTGTGAAATTACTAAATGGCACTGAATGTTCACCTAAAAGATTTAATTTCATCCCAATAAATTATTAAAATACAAACACAAGTGCACACACAGTTTGTTAAATGAATTAAAGGAATAATAAGAGAGTTATTGTGGAGTTAAGGCTAGATGGCTGTAAGTTGTCTAGGAAAATACGGCTTGTTTTTTTCGTTGATGATATAATTCACGATTTTTTAAGATACAATAACCTCTAAGTTTTGTAAGCTGGCACCTACTAAACTTGAACACAGAGTGATAAAGAAGGATAAGGGGACTTACTGCTGGCTGATGTGTGATCTTTAGAGCTCAGGACTGCTGTAGTGGATACTCTGCTGTGTTTCCCAGATCCTCCCTTCATGAAAATAAGCATTCCCCAGCTGCAAAGCAAGCCACTTACTGATGGCTCAATAATTGCCTCTTTCTCCTGTAATTTATACTGACTGGCAGTGCATGCTTCTTCATCTAAATTTTACCTCCCTCTATTACTGGAGAGCTACAATAACACATTTGATAGCATGATACTGTTATGTGCAAACGAAGATGACAATTTCTGTGTTTGGGACACAGATACAGATAATTAGAAAAGGTGCTAAGTGATCTTACAGAAGCACAATTAAGGGGGATCTAATTTAAGTCATGTGAGAGGCTCAGAGATGACTGCTGGGAAAACATGATGTTTACTCTGAGACTTGATAAAGGGAGTAATAAGTCAAGTGAAGAGGGTTAGAGAGTTCCAGGTAAAAAGATAAGAGGTTACAAACAAAGCCTATGAAGAAAAATCTTGGAAGTTATACTAAGGAGTTAAAAACTATATCTCACTATTTGGTTTTATGCAAATTATTTATCTTGGCTAGGCCTCAGTTTCTTCACATGTAACCAAGGAAAATAATAGTTTGTGCCTCACAGAATTATGAGAATTAAGTTACTAAATTAAACTAATAAACATTGTATTATCTGAAATTGGTGTCACTATTATTCTGGAAAGACACTGTCAAATATAGTTTTGGTGGTAAAGACAAGAACCAAAGCAACCAGTATTGCAAAAGGAATACAACAAAGAATGCACAAGATTTTTTTTTTCAGATAGGGTCTCTCCCTTTTGTCAGGCCCTGCCCTATACTGCAGTCCTACTACCTCTGTCTCACAAGTGGCTGGGATTACAGTGTCACTATGCCTGGCCTGCACAGGATATTTTAAAATAATGTAATCAACCACCATCATGTGTTATGAACAATAGATGCTACTGGTTTTTTTTTCCCCCCGCAGGGCCTCATACATGCTAGGCAAAAGCTCTACCAATTCAGTCACACCCTGAAGTCCTTTTGTTTATATTTTTGTTTTGGAGGTAGGGTCTAACTTTGCCTGATCTTGAATTTGAGATCCTCCTGACTGTGTCTCTGAAGTAACTGGGATTACAGGCATGCTCCACCACACTTGGCTTAGATTCTACTGACTTTATCTTGTAAGTAGGAAAATGAATGAAAAATGATTAACCCTTTATTAAAATTAGAAGGACCTTCAGTTTTATAATATAAAATTAGCTTTAAGTCCAAGAACCTTCTTTCTAGCAAACAATTCTAACAGCCTGGGTGAGATGGCAGTGGTTCTCTACAAATCTGAACAGTTCTCATTCAGGATGATTTTCTTAGAAATGTTCTCTGTGAACATAACTGTTTTCCCCCCATTCTTAGATAGAAACTCTTGTGGTTCTCCCTACTCTAACTTAAACATACTGGTATTTCTTCCTTTTCCCTAAAAATTTTTTTAAATATAAAGGAGTTAAAAAATAAAATGTTGGGCCAGGCATGGTGGCTCACGCCTGTAATATCAGTTACACAAGAGGTAAAGATTGGAAGGATTGTAGCTTGAGGCCAGCCCAGGCAGAAAGTTAGCAAACATTTCAACCAATAAGCTGGGCAGTGGTAGCAAATGCCTGTCAGCCTAGTTATATGGAAAGGATGGGTAGAAGAATAGCAGTCCAAGGCTGGCCCCAGGCAAAAAACAAAAACAAAACAAAATAAAGCACCAGCAAGACTCTATGTGAAAAATGAATAAAGTAAAAAAGGGCTGGGGGCATGGTTCAATCAGTAGAGCACGTGCACAGCAAGTTCTAGGCCCTGACTTCATGCTCTAGTACTGAAAAAAAATTTTTTTTTTACCCTGGACACAATGGATTTCAAGTCAAAATGTGAATGTCTCCCTTAATCTGAAGTAGATTTTTTCATCAAATAGCAAGCTTAAAAAATTCTGATACAACTCTAAATGTGTAATAATTACAATGTAATATTGGTAGGACTAGGAGATTTCCAAGCAAAACCAACAGCTACAATTACATAATGTATTTTATATTTGTAATGAAAAGTAGAAGTAATACCAAAACACTTAGATTGGGTATGTTAAGATCACCAACTGTTCTTCTGAAAATGGAATCAGAAAGTGTAAAATTTTCTCAACATTTCCTACCTGCTGGCCATATTCCACTCAAGGGCTGGATTCTGAGAATTCCTTTCACTCTCTGTTAGCACCCCTCCTGTGCCACTTTTCTTCTCTGGTTTTAGTTGATCCCACTGTGCAGTACCAATATTAATTGACTGCAGTTCTATTTGGTATTGTCTATCTTCAATTTCTGATCCTGGATCTCGAAGAATTCCTAAGTTCAAGGCTCTCCTGTAAAGGCAATGAAAAAAGTAAACAGGTAAGATAAACATTTTATGTTTATTTTGCTTACCAATATACTACCACTAACCTTTGTTATATTACTGATTGTGTTAAGTCTTACATCCTTGTGACCAAATACCTGACCAACACAACTTGAGAGAGGAAAGGTGTATTTTAGCTCATAGTTTCAGAGGTTTCAGTCTATCATGGTAGGAGGGTGCAGGAAGATATCTCACATCATAGAAGCCAGGAAGCAGAGAAAATATCTGTACTTGTGGCCTCTCTCCTTTTAGTCCTTTTATTCCATTGCCCCCAGCTATGGGTAGTGCCATCCACATTCAGGGCAGATATTAACCTATGCATTAATCTCTAGAAACTCCTTCACAGACACACTCATGGTTGTGCTTTATTAATCTCCTAGGAAATTCTCACTCAAGTTACCTATTATTCTGATTAACACACTGGGTTGAATGGCAACTAGGAGACAGGTATTAAAAAGTTACCGTATATTACGACTTGTAAAGGTATCCAAAACTTATCATTTACAATAATCTAAACCACAATGATGATTTCTTACATTATTCCCAGCTATGTATTCTTTTGATAATTACATTTACATATATGATTTTAATTGTTGAAAAGCTTTCAGGTTCTATTATGACCATTTTACCAAAGAGAAAAAAATTCTGAGAGGTTGAAAGGCAATGTAACAAAACTACAAGTTAAATTCAGTTTTTTTTTCCTTCAAAACCCTTTCCAATGTTAATCATATATCTGCCTGAAAATACTGCTATCTTATAGGAAAGGTGATAGATAGTACTTGGGGGTTTGAGATTCAAATATGGCATGAAAAAAATTCACACTGGCTAGGCTTGTCCCAGGTAGATAGTGTTGTCAGGAAAAGATAACAGAAAATTCTCTTGGGGTAACTCAATTTCGCCATATGAGGTTCCAAATGAAGTAAGATACTCATAAACAAAATTTGCAACTTATACACAGTACTACCTTGAATGAGACATAAAAGAAGTAGTAAGCAAAAGAAAGGGATCCTCAAAGACTTTAAAAAACAGCAGATATGAAATACAAAAATATGTCTCAAAAGTAAAAAAGCATCCTCAAAATATGAAAGACTAAGATTTTTTTTTATAAGAACTGTACAGAACTACAAATGAGAACAGAATTAACTTAAATTGAAAACTCAGCAGATTAAATGCAACTGTGGTGATAGTGAATTCAAAGTAAGATCCAAAGAAGTCCAGAATACAATTCAAACCAACTTTGTAGACCAAAGATGGTTAAGATAAATGGAGAATGTAAGTGAGAAAGTTTAAAAAATGCCTAACTGGAGTTTGAGAACAATAATACAGAAAATGGGGAAGAGGCTTTATTTGGAGAGATAATGTCTGAGAATTATTCCACAATTGTTGCAAAATGTCAAATCTCATAGCCAGATAGCCCCAAAATGCCAAGAAGTAATGATAAAGAAGAAATTATAAACTTCTAACCAAATATTAACTTTAAACCAGTAATAATGTCTAAATTAAGACAGATAAAAATAAGACATTAAATAATAATAGTATATAAATGAGAGGACCAGTTAATTTGAGTATTGTTGGGGAGAAAGGACATTGGTTAACTTAAGACTTAAGTACAAGTGCTTGGATAACCTCTAAAATAACAGACATGAAAGATATAACTTCCATATAAATAGAGTAAAAAATAAAACATAAAAAAACCAAACTGAAAAACAGAAAGTATGTACTATGAATATACATAGAATCTAGACATCACAATAACCAGTATACATATAATTGAAGTTCTCTAGCTAAAATATAAAAGCTATCAGAGTAGACTGAATAAAACTGCAATTATATTGATTTTTTAAGAGCTACAGTTAAACTATGACTCAGGAAACACAAAGAAAGATTAAATAAGAGTTGACATATGGAAAAATGTATAGTATCTATACTAGACAAACACTCAAAGTTCAAGTACTTATACTGGCATTAGATGACATAGTCTTTAAACATATTTAAAAACAGAATTACTTAGCCATCATTAGTAACACCACCAACAACAGGTGTTGGCGAGGATGCGGGGAAAAAAGGAACCCTCTTACACTGTTGGTGGGAATGTAAACTAGTACAACCACTCTGGAAAAAAATTTGGAGGCTACTTAAAAGGCTAGACATTGATCTACCATTTGATCCAGCAATACCACTCTTGGGGATATACCCAAAAGACTGTGACACAGGTTACTCTAGAGGCACCTGCACACCATGTTTTTATGCGCGCACTATTCACAATAGTCAAGTTATGGAAACAGCCAAGATGCCTCACCTCTGACGAATGGATTAAGAAAATGTGGTTATCTATACACAATGGAATTTTATGCAGCCATGAAGAAGAATGAAATGTTATCATTTGCTAGTAAATGGATGGAATTGGAGAACATCATTCTGAGTGAGGTTAGCCTGGCCCAAAAGACCAAAAATCGTATGTTCTCCCTCATATGTGGACATTAGATCAAGGGCAAAACAACAAGGGATTGGACTTTGAGCACATGATAAAAAGAGCACAAAGGGGTGAGGATAGGTAAGACACCTAAAATTAGCTAGCATTTTGTTGCCCTAATGCAGAGAAACTAAAGCAGATACCTTAAAGCAACTGAGGCCAATAGGAAAAGGGGAACCAGGAACTAGAGAAAAGTTTAGATCAAAAAGAATTAACCTAGAAGGTAACACACATGCACAGGAAATCAATGTGAGTCACTCCCTGTATAGCTATTCCTTATCTCAACCAGCAAAAACCCTTGTCCTTCCTATTATTGCTTATACTCTCTCTCAACAAATTAGAGAAATAAGGGCAAAATAGTTTCTGCTGGGTATCGGGGGTGGGGGGAGAGGGAGGGGCAAGTGGGGTAAGGGAGGGGGTGGGGGCAGGGGGGAGAAATGACCCAACCATTTATGCACATGATGAATAA